CATTTTTGTTGCCCTTTTCTGAACCTTTTTCAATGCCAATATATCTTTATTGAGATTAGGTGATCACATCTGTACGCAGTAGTCAAGATGTGGGCATACCATGGTTTTATATAGAGGCAATAAGTCTCTGTCTTATTTTCTATCCCTTTTTTAACAATTCCCAATGGAATGAAAGAAAAGGCAGTGAGGCTTTAAAATGTGTAAGGAAGGCTTTCTAGGGTTTTAGTTTAATAATATGGCATATCTTAGTTAAATGATTGCACTGTAGGATAGGTTAGTATCAGTCCACATGAAGCAGCTGAGAGTACGGATCCTGTACGTGTGGGAGTGAGCCATGTGTGTGTACTGCAGCATGTTTGTTACATGCAACTCCCACCAACATTTAGTTTTTGGAAGCTGAGCAGAGATTCCATAGCTCCAGGTCTCTGAATTCTCATCTGGGCTCAGAGTCTCCCATTGTTTCCTTTTGGGACTATATTTCATACAGCAAGCCCAGTCCTCAGCTTCTGCATTTTATGCTTCCCCACTTGTTCACTGCTGCTCTGATGCTTTTCCAAAGGTTCTGTGCTGAGATTCTTTTCAACCAATGGAGCACTCTGACACTAAAGCCACTCTTCCAGCCAGCTAAACAGTGAACGCAATTGGTCATCTATTCCCCTGGCTTTTGCTGTTTGCCCAAGGACCTAGTGCCTCTAAATCTGAACAGGATGGTAAGGGAATACGCTAAAGACTCCTTGTGTGTGTCTGGTATCTGCTCACCCAAGCTCTGGTTTTCAAGAGCAATCTGGGAGCCAATGAGCTCCCAAATGGAAATGTAAGTCACTCGTTAAGAGTTCCCCTTTGCCTCTTTGCCTACGGAAGCACTTGTCAACGAAAATATATGAACTCTAAATTCTCCAATGCAGTGTTTCTCAGCTAGTGTTATGAGTACCCTTATGAGTACTTGAGAGAAGTCTGGGGGGTACTTCAACACAACTGAAATTTGGAGAAAACTGAATTTTTGTTTTACATTTTACAGTGCTTTATTATTTTTGTACTTTTTACATCCAAAAATTTTATCGCTTGCCCGGCTACAATTAAGTTGTTTAAAGAAATGTGTTGCAATGGTAGAAAAAAAAATTGTGTGTCTGAAAACTGTAGGTACTGGGGGTACTTTTTTTTTTTGTTTGAAAAAGGGGTACTTTATAAAAAAGGTTAAGAAATACTGCTCCAATCCACCCAGAATCCTGACTCAGAACTGAGAACATCTAGATAATCAGTGGCAGGTCCAGGTCAAATATTTAGGCAGGACCCTGAATGCTTCCTTAACTAGTCTGTGCGTGCCATCCTTCTGCATGCTTGAAGCTCCTCTTGCAACTGCAGTAAATATTCTGAGCTGCTGAAACTCTGTGACTTGATTTTCTGAATTGCCTGAGTGAGGCCATACCACCAATGCAGACCCTTTAGCTACATATCCATGGCTGGAAAGATGGAGCTCAGCCATGGCCACACATGGCATTTTTGGGATTCAGGATTGCTGATGCTCAGCAATCATGTTGTGCTTTAGTCATTAGGAGTGGCAGCTTTTACTCCTCAGAGTTTCACCATTCATTTGCTTTATATTTGGCCTAAAGGGAGAGGAAGTGAGATGTACAGGCAGTCCCCGGGTTACGTACAAGATAGGGACTGTAGGTTTGTTCTTAAGTTGAATCTGTATGTAAGTCGGAACTGGCATCCAGATTCAGCCGCTGCTGAAACTGACCACCAGTTCTGACTTACATACAGATTCAACTTAAGAACCCCAAGCGTCCCCAAGTCAGCTGCTGCTGAAACTGAT